TCCAGGTTCTGAACGGGAGTATCCTCAGGAACTGTCTTTTCGCCCTTTCCATAATCTACCACCTGAACTTCGTTGCGACATCTGGCAGGCAACTTGGGAGCCTCAGATTATTACGCTTGATCATAATTCCTACGAAAGGTTCGAAATACGTGCCGATAAATGGAATCTTCCGACTTCGGCTCACGTGAACTACGAGTCTCGTTGCGAAACTCTTCGCCACTACAAGCTGAGTTTTGCCGAAGAGGAATTTGAGTCCCGTGTTTGGTTCAATTTTTCTCTAGACACCCTACATTTTCCCTACCACACGCAGATGCGCAGAAATGGTATTATGGACATCGTAGATCTCGCTGAGGTGGAGCGATTGATCGTCCCAGAATACCTTCCCACTGGTTTCTTCGAGCCAGAAGGACTATACCAAAAGTTGGCTGATGGTACACCATATCCGAAACTTCCAGTCCTGGTTAACCGTGAGCGAATCAGGAGACAATTCTACGGCAACAATGTGGATGACCTACCTATTCCAGATCTATGGACAGTCGATCATTATCTAAATACTCGTTTCCCAAGTCTACAGGATATTACACTCACTCACAACCAGCCGTGCGACATGAGGCTCATAAACGATGTTAAGCCTGGATGTTTGGTGTGCGAAGAAAACAAAATAGATAGCTGGAAAGAACTTCCACGGGGGCCTACAATGACAACCGAATTATGCGGGCTAAGGGTCCATCATTCGCGTGTTTGTGGGCCGTTAGAAGAGCATCACGATTCGCTGAGCGAATCAGATTGGATTTGCCTTGGGGCATCTCTCGAGTGGGCTATGGGAGACGATGGCGCTTATTTTACTTTGAGTTGGTTGAGAGGAATAGGCAAACCAGAAGATATACTGGCATACCGGGAAATCGTGTAGATTATGGCTCTACCGCCTTGAATTAGCATCGCGTCGAACCTGCATTTATTCTAATGCGGGCGTCTTTCAGAACAGAGGAAACAGGAGCAACTGATAATTAACTGCCAATTTCTAAGCGTGGTCATGCGGACCTTACGGCTATCATTGACCGGAGGGGCTGAGGGGGTGCCGATTTCCTTAGGTTACCGTTAGAAATAGCAATTACGATGTCTGAGATCAGATTTGATGTCAAAGCTTAAGATAGACCCAAAATTTCGGCGACCTGAAAAGAAAGATTCGGAAGCGGGGCTGCTAACTCCATTGAAGTTCCGTTGACGAGAAACCCAAGGCCGACAACTAGATTCTAGAATATCTCCAGCACCTTACTGCAACTTGTCAATGACAATGTGCATTTCATCTCAGAAACACTAGACGACGTTTGTCGAGGCTAAATCATGGTCAAACGATGTAGACAGCTGGATGGAAGAGGATTGGATGAGCCTCGTGACCGCGATAAAGTTTACAAGTGTTATTGAAACTCCAGAGGCTGAGATTACTGTTAATTGCATTGCTAATAAGTGACCAGATGTACCGTCTACACACTGTAAAGGAACTGTATGTGAGCTAAAGCGGAGCAATAAGCTCCTTTCATTGAGAATATCTAGATCGGATCGCCAGAAATAAACACCATCTGGCCAGGCCTTCTTAGCTTACTACCGAATAACTGTTGCAGCCAATTAGGCAGGCTCATCTGCCAGCTGCAAGGGAATGAGCGTTTCCGTAGATATGCAACGGCGCAGCTGCCGACGCAACCCCCGTAATTTGGACCCTAGGCTAGATGCCATTCAGCCAAATTCCCCTAATTGCCAAGGACGTAGAGTGAGACCATCCATTTCGAGCTCTAGACGATCTGCCACCTTGTCACGAACGGCTTACCTCAGAGATCGCCTTGAATATCTATACCGATGAAAATTTCCGCTCGAGTTCCAAATGAACGCTTCCTCAACCCAGAGTAAACTAGAGGCGAAGGAGACGAAAAGAGTTCAGACCTGCGTCAGCGACCCATGAAGCTTGTCCGAGATTGGAGCCCGTTTCTCAGCGCCGATGGCCCAATACAACCACATCGCATCTGCCTCATCGTCTACAACCAATCTGTAAAATTAGGGTCAACAAGCGAACCGCATCGTCTGAGCTCCAATCGTCATGACGCCGCTTCTCAAAATTTTACCCCGGCGAAGGCGATTTCTCATTGTCATCCCGGTGCTGGCGCTGCTGGTCTGGGCTTTACTCCCGCCTGCTAGGTTGAATTCTCCAAGTACACTTTTATACGCTATCAAGGGCTCACCAGGGAAATCTAGCGATAAAATATTACGATATGTCGACCCTCTCATCGGTACCGTGAATGGAGGTGAGTAGCAAGCATCAATTGAACTTATGGATTAAGAACCTTCACTAAAACCGTTTTAGGCCATGTTTTTCCCGGCGCAACTCTGCCATACGGTATGTCATTTGACTGATGCGAGAACGCATCTAATCTAAACCCCATTTACTGATGGGCAGCTAGGCATGGCCAAAGCTGTGGCGGACGTAGATAACCGTGGCGAGGCAGCTGCAGGTTTTGTCTCAGACGAATCGAAAATCCAAGGCTTCTCCCACTTGCACGATTCAGGTAACCAAGGATCTAAATCATCTCTCACGCAGTCTGGCTAACCATTTCTTAGGTACCGGGGGAGTGAGTTTTATCACATTTCCTAGTTGTGCAGCTCTAACTAGCAATAGAGTCCCTCGATGGGAAACTTCCCCCTCTTCGTTCATCCTGGCTGCCCAGAGGATGACTTCGCCCAGTGCAAGTATACATACATAGGGAGGGCTGTTAAAAGGATAGAGGGCTCTGCCACAGCACGGCCGGGATACTTCGCTATTGGCATGGATAACTCCGTCTATGCAGAGATGACGGCAGCCGAGCATACGACGCTCTATAGATTTAGCTTCTCTAAAAAGGCAGAGGTAGAGTCGCATGAAGCTATGGTACCCACTAACCCCTTAATCCTACTTGATTTGATTGACTTGGGCAACACTCGAACTGGTGGCGATGTTGAAGTGAATCCCCAAACAGGGAGAATTACAGGCAATGGATCGTTTACCCCGTCATTCGGAACCGGTGCATATACAGCGCATTTCTGCGCGGATTTCAGTGGCGCTGAGATTCGAAAGACAGGTACATTTTTACACACTAACGTGACAGACGAGGTGCAAGCACTTGGCAACCTGGGAAGCAATTTCTACATCCCGTCCGGTTCGGCAGGCGCCTGGATTCATTTCAACCGTCCGTCCAAGAGCCGAATAATGGCACGAGTCGGACTCTCGTTCATATCTGTAGCACAAGCCTGCCACAATGCGGAGGCCGAAATTCCAGACTTCGGCTTCGAGGACGTGGTGAGGGCTGGAGAGAAAGCCTGGAAGGAGAAGCTCTCTGTGATCACACCCGACTATGCGGGCATGAGCAACGAGTTCCTGACCACATTTTGGTCTGGTCTCTACCGCGCGCTTATCTCACCCCAGGACTACACGAGAGAAAACCCGCTGTGGAAATCGGACGAACCGTACTATGATAGCTTTTATTGTATCTGGGACTCTTTCCGGGCACAGCACCCCCTTTTGACTATCATTGACCCCGCGGTGCAAACCAAGATGGTTAGGTCGCTGATCGACACTTATAAGCACGAAGGAAAATTGCCGGATTGCCGCATGAGTTTCAGCAAGGGCTATACGCAAGGAGGCTCCAATGCAGACGTGGTGCTCGCAGATGCGTTCGTCAAAAACCTTACGGACGGCATCGACTGGGCTCTCGGTTACGAGGCCGTCGTTTCTGATGCGGAAGTGGAACCTAGGGACTGGTCTACGTCAGGGCGCGGAAGCCTCGAGAGCTGGCACAATCTGGGCTACGTGCCGTATGATGATATAGATCGCAACGGAACCGGCCCGATGAGTCGCGCTATATCGCGGACGGTAGAATACGCATACGATGACTTCGTGATCGCGCTGATGGCACGAGAGCTAGGACACAAGGACGACGAGACGAAATACCTCCAGCGTAGTGGCAATTGGAAGAACCTATTCAATCCGGAGCAGGAGGACAAATACCGGGATGAGACGGGTGAGCTGCACAAGTCGGAATTCAAGGGTTTTATGCAACCACGTTTTCGCAACGGTACTTGGCGATACCAGAACGTCCGATTATGCAGCCCTATCTACCAACAGCATAGCTGTTACTTCGATACGCAGTACGAGACATACGAAGGTAGCCCGTGGCTTTATACTTTCTACGTGCCGCAGGATATGGCGTCGCTAATCAAAGCGTTGGGTGGTCGCGACACCTTTAACGAGCGTCTCGACTTCTTCCATTCTTCCGGGATCAACTATATGGGCAACGAGCCTAACTTCTTGTCGACGTTCCAATTCCACTACGGCGGAAGGCCTGGGCGTAGTAATTATTGGGTCCACGAGTACGTCCCAGGCCAATTCAACGCCAGTATCAACGGGATCCCGGGCAATGACGACTGTGCCATGGGTGCCTTCACCGCCTTTGCCTTTATGGGATTTTACCCGGTCGCCGGTCAAGACGTCTACCTGCTGACGGCGCCCATGTTCCGCCAGGTCAGTCTCCAGACGCCCTCGGGGAGGCCGGCGATACTGCGGAACACCGCAGGTTTCGATGCGCCGCGATATAGAAATATCTACATCCAGAGCGCGAAACTAAACGGCAATCCGTACACTCGAAATTGGATCACGCACGACTTCTTCGTCAACGGAGGCACGCTCGAGTTCGTGCTGGGTAGCACAGAGAGCGATTGGGGGACTAGGGACGAGGATCTACCGCCCAGTCTATCGACGGGGTTACAGAAATGAGCTGGACAAACGCGAATGCCAGCAGCGTCTTGAGAGGTTACTATTTAATGAAGAAATGAATTGCATTGGAAAGAGGGAAAGTATCCTCATATGTACCGTACGTACATTACCTACCACCTAGGTGGTGTCTCAACAGAAATTAAAGTGACCAAAAAGTAAATTTAGTTCACACGTATTTCCAAACTGGAAACTCATAAGAGTACTCTCGATCGGGGAATCGAACCCCGGCCACCTGCGAATCCAATTCTTTAATGAGACCGTAGTCACTAACCGTACTGGTTGGCCGTTGTACTGGTTACAATGACAAGCAGGTATCCTGACCACTAGACCAATCGAGAAGGGGGTCACCGCTTGGAGTGAACCAGCAGTTGCTTGTGTCTTGTGATTGCTCGGTCGGTTAGACTAGTAGATATAGCATAAGAAGCTGCCAGAAATTGAATGCGTAAAGCTTTTTGTGTGTAGGAAGGGTGTAAGCGAGCGGGCACAAGCGTTGGGTAGCAAACCTCGCGGTTCTAAAATGGCTAATGCCAACTAGTTTTCCCCCCTAAGTGGGACTGGGTAAGGGTCCCGCCGGTTCAGTGCTGTGGACGCTAACCTGCTTAGTGCTATGGAAACATCTGAACAGCAATTCGTTTTCAAGCATTCAAGGTAGCTAGGCCGAGGGCGACAACTTTTCGAGGATGGGGATGGAAGTGTGCACAACAATGACTCTAATGATCTAGGTATGATCTATGAAGTTCTGGCAACGGCTACGGTTTTCCCATGACGTACCAATATTGCTGCTCTACCCAGTAGAGACCTGGCTATTAGCACATATCCACCTGCTCTCCAAACCGTCGAAAGAAAAACAAAACCCAGAACAGGCATGATGCAGAGCAGTCTGACTATTCCGTCCCGACGGTGGCCATCATCTAAAAACAACACCTAAAGCTTATGGGAAGGAAAGACGCATGTGCCTCTAAGAAGTGACAACAGGCTTCATCCATGTAGACAAACCCCTCTAACATGAGTTAGGCATCATCGCTTTCATCTTGTTCCTCTCCGTCGCCTCCATCGTCAGCGCCCCCGGCGTCCTCGGAATCGCTATCGACATTAGGATCTGGCATGACGACGCTATTGAGGAACGTGACCTATGTGCAGGCGTCGAGTTAGCGTACATGCAGCTATGCAGGCACACACAAGGTTAGACGTACAAATTCAACCATGGGCGTGATGATATCCATGATCCTGTCCTGCGCGTCTTCCGCGAGAAGATCCGAGTCGTCGATCTTCTTGCCAATTGTGTAATTCCGCAGCTTCAGGAGTTCGATGTCCTTATGATCTGGATGGAAACCCTGCCTCTAGTTAACATGCCCCGCTCCAGCATTCATTTCTTCGCGGGAATCTAACGTACCTTCGGCTTGGTCTTGAGCGCATTCTCCTTATTCGCGGCCGCGAACGCCGACAGCACAGACTTCTCGTTGTTGGCCTTGGCGTCTGGCAGGAACGTCTTGCGGAACGCCGAGTTCATCAAGACGCGGCGTATGCGGTGGGGGCGCTCGTCGATGCTAGCGCGCAAACGGGCCAGTGCTTCAGCAGGTGGGTGCCAGAGGCCGCCCCCAACCATGCACCGATTGGGCTCTACGTGCACATAGTAGCAAGCATATGCTCCTTTTCGACCTGTCCGCGACCACGCAGCCGAGTAGTGGGGCTGCCCGAAAGACGAATTCCTTACGTTAGAATAGAGCTCTCTGTCTGAGGACGGCTGCGGAAGGAGAGGGACCTCACCTTATACGGAGTAGGATCCTTGCTAAACCGAATATCACGATATATCCTAAAGATAACGTCTTTCAGGGGCAGCTCCGGGATCGTCTCATCGGTCTCGACGATTTTCTCCGTGAGTGTCTCCACAAACGACTCCCAGTCCTTCAACGATCGCCTGTATTCCCCGTCGTTCGCTAAGAACACCGAGAATTTTGTGTTAATTACAATAACACGAGAAATTGTATCGAGTTAAATAGGGAAGAATGTACGCACATTTAAGCCAATTCCTCCTATTATTGGCTTTGAGGTCCTTCAAGAAGAGGAAAGTATTCTTGTGAATTCGAGTGTCCTCGTAGTCGACACCGTCGGTATCCCTCAATTGTACCGCTGCGCGATTTGTCATTAGGATACTACTAACGTACGAGAACGAGCTATACGGGTGGTCCTCGAGATTGAAGAATTGTACTTACCAGGGATAAAAGTAATGCGATTCTCATCGTCGTCATCGTCGTCATCGCTACCTTCCTCAGCTTCAGGATCATCGGATTTGGCTTTTGCCTTAGATTTGACCTTAGGCTTTGTCACAATCCGACTTTTCGCATCTGACTCCCTTGAGGCCTTAGTAGGCATCCCGGCCTTATGTTTAGGCGGTCTTCCACACCCGCGCTTCTGCACCGGCGGTGCTGCGTCACTTTCGGACTCGTCGCCTCTCAAGTTATCACTTGTTTCCTCGGTGTCGTCGCTATTCTCCAACGCATCGCCGTCATCCTCTAAATCATCTTTATCCTCATCCTCATCCTTATCTTCATTTTCGTCCTCATGCTGCAGTTCATCCTCTGATTCGGCCTTCGCTTTAGATCTTCGGCGAGGCGTTTTAGTTTCACTCTTGACCGCTTTCCTGGGGCGCGGTCCTGAAAGCTCGTCTACGTCATCACTAGCATTGCGGCCGCCGTTGCTTTCAAAATAGTTGCTCCTTTTCCCGCTCGAACTGAGGCGACCGGATTTACGGAGCGAACCCCTGGCACTCTCGGGAGTAGCAATGGCCTCGGCCGCGGTGCGCTTTTTCGCAGGCATTGCAGAATTCTGTCAACTCTTTATTTTAGTTCCTTGCAGTGCCTAACCTAATTGATTTTCTGGACCTAGAAGGATAAATCTCAATGCATCAGACGAAACAATGGAAGAAATGTTGATGACGCGTTGGATCGGATGGTGGGGTGCCGATGGCCACACGCTATCACGTGACTTTGGAATTCCAAGTGCTCCTACATAGGTACGTGCTAGACAAGCCGGAAATAGCACCAAATAGTCCTACCTGTATTTACCTATTGTACGATGATGTAACTGGATTTCGTGGCTGGGTTGAGTTATTAAGGGATATGCTAGATGCCTAGGCGAACAACGGTGGGTACCTATCATCTATGTAGCTACGACCGCTACATTATACCTGACTCGATTGCCGCAACCCAGCACGCTTCCCTCTGATCGCATCCTCCGCCCCCCTAATTCTCTTAACTGTTCTTTGGCCCCGTCTTGTTAATGGCCGGAACATCTGTTCCTCTAAACACTACGGCACTAGACCCTCATTGCGGTTCTTATGGCATATTGACAACGACGCGCTGGTCGGTCGTGCTCTTAATTTATGACACGATCGTTGACTGAACCAACTATTTCCCAAATTTAGTCCTTAGCAATCAGCATGCCAACTTTCGATGTTTCGGAGTTCCTTGATTGAAAGGCCAGCCCAAGGTTAATTCAGCTCTGTGATGATATCTGATCGACAGGGTCTTATATGACCCTTTGATTTAGCCCGTAGTCATCCGGCGACTTCGTAAACAGGATTCACAGCAGTCAAGTCAGCCAAGTCCCGAATTAGGCGCCATGCGGCCTAGTGGTGTTCTGTCGCGCGGCTTCTCCAATAGATCCGCATATCCTTCCAACCCCGAGCCGATAACTTTTACGATGTCAAAGATGTGAGACCCCTTAAACGTCTCGGACCAGAGACGTATCACGGCTACAGCAAGCTGGCGCAGTTTCGTACCGTCATTTGCAGCCATGTCCACACTTGACGGCCCATGCCCCGGGATCCCTCCAGAGAGTGACGGGTCAATGGGCACTGCAAATTCTGTTTCGTCGAGCATATGGCGCAACATTTCGAGAAGGTTTCGTTCGTCGGGTTCAGGGGGGGCACCCGTCGGACCGATCGAAGCCAGAGTCATTAGCCATTTCGAAAGGAGGATGGCGCATTCCAGATTGCATACTACATCCAATTAGATCATCTACTTCGCAAATCTCTTTTCAGTCATCTCATAGCCACTTACACGAGTGTTGCATACTCCATTCCGACGATTTTCTCCTAGCGACGTAGTTGACGCCCACCTTAACTAACATGGATAACGCATGTATAGCTTGAAATACGGCTCGGTTGAGCCGGCCACTGCGGACGAGATATGGCGCATCGTGGAATGCGTGGGCAATTTGGCCCACATCCCTCGTTTCCAGAGTTCTACTGGGATTCAGATCGGTATACAATCGAATAGAAGCTAAACGCCACAGCGCGGTCGAATTGTAGGCAACCGGTCCGCCGGGAAGCACATCTGCGCCATTCTGGTTGCTTCCTTCTGTTACACGTGCCTGGTGCTGTTCGAAACTCATTTGCCAGATTCGCAGAGCTTGAAAACAATCTTCGACATCATCTTGACGCAGTCCCCCAAAGGGCGACACCGAATTGAACGAGGTCTGCTTCAGGAGAAATATGTGCTGCAGGATTGCATGTATCAGAATATAATTTCCCAGGGAGGACATGTATGCTGGGGGTCCCTGCGGCGGTCGACTGAACAGTCTTGAAAAGGCATCTTGGAGGGATATGTCCATACTCGGGAACGATTGACGAGCTTCTTGCCATTGCCAGGCCGAATCCGCTCTCCAGAGCTTCGCCGAATGCGGAAGAATAAGATTGAGTTCTGACGTGAGTAATAAAGGAGGCATGTTATAAGCGATACTACACAAATTAAAGAAGCAGTACGTGACGAGTTTCGTACGGTTGGCTCCTTCTATTCGGACCCACGCCTCCCAGTCGGCAGTTTGCGTAGATTCTGACAAGAACCCTTCTTCGCGGACCAGAAGAGCTAGGAGACTCTGAAGAGACAAAGCTTCGCGAAGGATGGCCTTTGCGCCCCAGAGGCCGACGGCAAAGAGCAATAAAAGTGCTTGAATGGTTTCCATGCGCGATTGGGGGGTATTTGGAGAACTGGAAGTATTATAATGTCAGCAATCTACCTGGGGAAATGAAATCAAAATTAAATCAAACGCATGGGTTCCCTTACTATGGCTCACGGTGCGTATCTTGCGTCATAGGGCGCTCCTGTTGCACGGAACTGAAAGAGTGTCGAAACCCGTGGCTTGGAGATGGACGAGTGGAATGCGGGCTATACGCCGCTGGCGTTGGCAACAAGCCGTGAACCTCGTGGCTATGGCGACGTCGGATCTGCTCAAGGGCTACTGCCTTTGCTGCATACCATAGTGCATTCGATCTGTGGCTCTCGAATCTGTACTGCGCACCTACTGCTAAAATCGCCAGCAGTAATTCCGGAGCCAG